CCGATCTCCCCAAAACCCCAAAACCCCGCAAGCGAAAATCTGATGCCCATGAATTTTGAAAAATGATAAATTAATTATGACTTTGCTTATATTTACACTCTACTTCGATATTCTCCACATCAACTCTAAACATCTCTATTTATTCCAGACTATACATGGCTTATTGAAATCTCATCTTCCAGATGTGCGAGGAGGAGAGAATTAATATGCTTCATAGAACTTTCTAAATCTGGGAATGGTTTCATGTCCTGGCATCTCATGACCCCCTATAGGGAATGCTGCGTCGAAAAACCTATCTCTGGCATATGCTCCTTCACTATTGACCACATAATCTGACTAAACGATTCTCCCTTGTTCTACTATTGTCTCAAATATAGTCTTTTAAGCGAACAGGTACTTGTTATAGCAAGTAGACACGCATTCAAAGTCCAGCACGTACTTCTTTTTATTAAAGCAGGTATTAAAGCAAAAGGTTGTCATATGCTTTTCAACCTACTCGATATACTTTAACTTATCTTCTTAGTTCATTAAACTATTTTAATAATTCTATAATTTTACTAATTGTAAAAATAAGGAGATTATACAAAATCAAATAATATAATGTTTCAACGTTTAACTGCTTAATAAAAGCATATTAAGAAGTTTTAGCATATAAAGTATCTTATAATACCAATAGAATTATGTGAAAATGATAAAGTGAAAATATATGAATCATTCCATAATAAAAATTGTTTCTTCATCCATATCATCCAAAGATTGATAAGTGGTTGTCTTTATTGAATCAAACTCTGCTAGCATCTTGATTGCCTGGTCCATTTATGTTTGACATGCTTCTGTTTTGCTGTACTCTTCTCATTGTCTTTTGCTGTTTCATAATATAGTTGTCCTCTACCCCTGGTAAAGCTTCTTTTGAAATGAAAACTGCTCTTGCCCCTGATTGATTATAGTCCTATAGAATGAGTTTAATTTGTGAATTTAATTGGACGTAATGCTATTGTCACAATCTGATTAATTTTAAGCCTTAGCTCTAATGGCTCTTAAAGCGGAAACTTACAGTTTGGGTATCAATAGTCTGAACTATTTTCCTATTGCTTTGTAGGACATTGGAAGAGAAGTAGATCTTGCGAGTTTATGGAGCTATAGATATTGAATTAAAATTAAGTTCTAAATCGATAAATACTGTTACTGAATTCGAAGAACTCTTGTGCTCCATTACAGCATGCTAAAGCTTAACCCATTTTAAAATCTTTAAATAAAATTAATTTGTTTTCTATTCGAAGTAAAAATAATATTGATGGGGTTTTGGGGTTTTGGGG